TAAAGGGGTTTTTTGCAGAAACGTTTCAGATTTCGTTACGTTCTCCGGCTTCGGAAAAACAGTCTAATGTTGTGTGGAAGGAGACGCTGGACGGAGCCGATCTCTTCCACCAAAACACATTATCAGTGATGTTTCCTGCACTTATATGTGTGTATGGCATGTTACCAGAGGAATGTCAGTGTGGGAAATCTGAGGAGTAAATCTCTTCCGCTCCGAAAGCTCCGCAGGGATTCGGCCAAAATAGGAGTTTACTCATAGCACGCACTCGCTGTAGGAGTCTGTTCCTGATGATAATGATTGCGGACGATTCTGTCAGGAGAAACCAATGATGGAGGAACCAGTTTAATTCATAACTCTCACAGAAAACTGAACTAAATGTGACTGAACAAATTTCACATCCATCTCAACCAAACCCTCAGTGATGGAGAATGACGCCTCAGCTGAAAAACGACCTAAAGATCACTGAAACCGCATAGCTATGCACTGGCAGCCACTCGGTCATGATGGTGCTGAATTCAGCGTGATGAAATGCACTTCAGAGACGGGTGGTGTGTGTGTTTCTGCAGGTGGTGTGATGAAGAGTGAGTGATGAGCTGCGGTGAGGAATGTCCGTCTGTCTGCTGCTGGTCCTCTTCACACTGACCGCAAACACTCAGGTGAAAACAACAGCACGAGCTCTCACTCCACACGCTAGCCTTCACACATTTGGGGTTAGTTAGATGTAAATGATGTACTAAGATAACTAAAACTAAAAGTGAATTTAAGAAGAGTAAAAACTATGTAGACATATTCATTTGAAATTGATCTGACTAAAATTAATAAAAATGACAAGAAAACCACAACACAATTACTAAAATTAAAATGAAAACTGGAAATATAAAAATAAAAACGGGGAACTAACTGAAATAAATCGGTTTAAGCTGAAGTACTAAAATTATCAAAAATAAAAATAAAATAAATAATGAAATATTATTTTTGAAAGAACAACAACTAACTAAGGACTAAATTACACATAATAAAAAAGACAAAAGCACAACAAAATGACCAAAACTAACTAAAATTAAGATAAAAACTGAAAAGCTAATTTAACAGATGAATAAATACTATAATATTAATATAACAAAACTCTTTTATTTTATTTTTATAATTGAATTATGATTTACTTTTGTGTATATTTGTAGTATTGTAGAAGTGGCTCTGATCCTGTAAAGGCTCATGTTTGAAGCGATCTTGAGTTTGTAGGTGTCTTCTGGGAAATCTCTGAAGCTGCTGCAGGAGCAATGGAGGATCTACACGAATGAGTGCATCCAGAGCTTGATCAGCGCACCGCCGGCCGCAGGTCAGGCTCGTGATTGCCGGCTGATGTGTGGCAGCAGTTGTGCAGTGCTTCAGTCGCTGAAGTGTCTCTGTGTGTGTGTTTCAGGGCCGGTGTGTAACAGGACGTTTGATCAGTACGTGTGTTGGCCCGATGGATCGCCGGGCACCACGGTTAATGTGTCCTGCCCGTGGTACCTGCCCTGGTACCGGAAAGGTAAAGCACTCACACTATGCCTTAAACCCACTATACGGACAGATATAATAGTCCTCTTATGCAGTAGAGCCTGAATGTGAGGGTATAATTGATAACACTTTAGATTAGGGAACACACAGAGGCTTCCCTCAACAGACTCCTAATGTGCTGCTTATTAATCGTGAGTAAGATAGTTGTTGTAGTAGTAGTTATGTTTAGGTACTGGTTAGGGTTAAGGGAACTAGAATATGGTCATGCATTAATATGTGCTTATATGCTAGTAATATGCATTCTTAAAAAATAGCTATGTTATATATATATAGATATATATATATATTTTTTTTTTTTTTATTTAAAATTAAAAAAAAAAAAGAAATTTAAGTTTTTAACATAAATTATTCCTTTATTAACATATTGACATTACAAATACCATGCTTTCTGTGTCAATGCATTATTATTATTTTTTTAAGAAATAATTTACGAAATAATTGAATAAGTGTGACATCATAATTGATTTGATATCATAAAAGTGTTTGATCAGGCTGAACTAAGTTGTTCTTACAGTCTTTATTAGAGCTGGATAGGCTCTCTCATCTTTGTTAAAGAGTTTAGACAATGCATTTTTCAGTTATTCAATAATATTGACTGTAAATAATGTGATGTGATGATATTTGCTAGATAGGGCCGTTATGATGCACTTTTGCTCTGACCTTCAACCCTAAAACTTTTTGACACACAACATGCTTTGATAAAAAACCATCATGGGTTATTAATATTCTTCTTTATAATGCATGCTTTACAAAGTACAGTGAAAGCAAGTGAAATTGATTGTGCTATCTGTCCGAATGAAAGGCATGTCAGTGCTGAACTTACTGCGACAGAATGATTTACAGTAATGCAACGCTTCAGGACACGGTTGCAGAGAAATATAAGTAACACATCAGTGCATTTTTAACTCCTGAAGATGGAATTTAACATATGCAGTGAGCAGATCGGCGATGGTCTCACTTACCTGTCAGACTGCTGAAATAAATGAGTGCTTTCAACCGACCTGCAAACGCTGCATGCCATCCGGGAGTCATTTAAGACATGAAGGGTTTTTAATGACAGATTCCACCAAACCAGAGCTCAGGTTCACGCTCTCAGATGCTCTCGTGTAACAGTCACACACTCTACAGTTCTCACTTCAGATGCACCGTCCTCCTCACACTCGTCATGACTTGCACCCAAGAGAAATGTCTTTTGTCTTGATAAGACAGAGGAATTAAATCTAAACTCTTAACAGGTTATATCAGCTCATTACTAGCAGTCAACCTACAGCATGAATATTTAACACAAAAAACACTGGTAAGACTGCTGCCATGCTAGAAAAGGACAGTTGTTATTACATGGTTATTGTAGTTAATTAAAACTAAAACTTAAAAAAAAAATAAAGTTACTTGAAATAAACTCTCGCTGAGATAAAATAAACACTAACTGAAAAAATTTGTTATGGTTCTGTGCTAAACCTTTGGAAAGGTTTTAAACTGATTAGACAGGAAAACAATCATTTTGGCCTTGAAGAACCACTGTTTAACAACTCTCTTCTAGGAGATAATATTTGTACATCTAATACAATTGTTAAAACTTTTATGGAAAAAAGATTGACCAAAGTTTCAGACTTGGTTAGCACTTCGTCTAAAACATGGAGGTCAGTGGTGGACATTTGCAATCAGGCTGGTTTTAGATCAGTCAGGATGGTCGAGCAGGTCATAGGTGGGTTGAAAGCAGCTCTTCCCTCCACACTTCTCCTGTTTGTTAATTGTTTTCTGTCTGGAGGCCCTTCTAGAGTGTTTTTATTGGTTTTAGAGTGTTTAAGTTATTTGTGTCTCCCAAGGGTTGGGTTGAAGAGGGTCAGGAAGGAAAACTGTTGAAACTTAACAGATTACAAGAGCTTGATTTTCAGGTTGCCGGAAAGAGATACCTTTATCAGATATGTGTTAAAATTGATTATTTTGAGCATATTAAAGACAGAGGTGATACAAAATGGAGAGGATTTTTAACAGTTCCTGCAGTTCCTCCTCTACCTAAACGATCTGGTGATTTGCAGTGGAGGCTACTACATTGTGCATTGCCAACTAATTCTCACATTTCTAAATTTAACTTGAATGTTTCACCATCTTGTATTTTCTGTTCATTACCAGAATCTGTTTTTCATGTTTTCACTGAGTGTTTTAGATTGGCTCCATTATTTGCATTGATAGAAGGTTTACTTGGGAACTAGGGTTTTGTTTTTAACAAGACACTTTTTTTATCTATGGATGTAAGTATTCAAGAGTGCACAGACAGCAGTGATCAGATGAGCAGCGCTCAGAGCTTCCAGGGGCAGCGCTGGGTCAGCGCTCAGGTACTCATCACTGTTTACAGGCAGGTCGAGCTGAATCCACAGGAGAGTGCAGGTGTGTTCAAGGACGTCTATTCACGCACTGTAAGCGTCTCGGATCAAGCTCTTTAAATCGCTTTCTCTCAAAGTCGTTCTATAAACGACATTGCTTCCTGGCAGTTGTTGACTTGTGTTGTGTAAAGACGGCCAATCAGATTGGATCTTCAGACTGGGGGCAGGCGATATACCAGCCAAAAGCTGCCAGTCAGTGACTCTTAAACGCATTAATGTTCAGAAACTACACTATATGTAACACTACACTTTTAGTCAAATGCTTATTATGAACTCATTTAAACAAGAAAAGCTATATTGATTGACTGACAAAAAAAACAACAATGCTAAGCAGGTAAATGGTATTTACAGTAAGATAAATGTGATACATTTTGTAATTTATTTTGAATAGTTTCATTGCAAAATATGTGATATGTTAAAATATAATAATAATAACAACAATAATAATTAGAGCCCGACCGATATATCGTTTAGCCGATATTATCGGCCGATATGAGCCTGAATATGCCGCCGATATGAACATTTTTTTTACAGAGCATATAACGCAGATAAAATGCTTGAAATCATGTAACTACTTAGTTTGTCCAGCAGAGCGCGCTCTGATCGGCGCCGACCGATCTAGCGATCCCGGGGGGCTACCGACGCGCGGAGGGTGGCGTTCGAGAGGGCTCCTCGAGCTGAAGGGATCCCCCGAATTTGGTGGAGATCCACCGGCGCGTTCGCGAGATAGTGACACCAGCCAACACTTTCACTTCAGTAAGGAGGTCTCTTGTTCAGGCAGCGGCATTCAAGCGTCGTATTATTTGACCATAAGTGCCCTGCGAAGTGGACTTCACATAATATTCCGCCATGATTCCAGTTCTAAGGGAACGTACACGTTGCATTCAAAGGGCATTAAAGTGCGCGAGACGTGAATTTATATTTAATTACAGAGGTAAATTATGTCACACTTCATACTTCTCTAGTAAGTTCCGTCTGTGTGTGAAGAGAGTAGCGCAAATCCGTGAATGAATGTTCCAAAGTGAAATAAAGGTATCGGCCCCAAAAAACCCATATCGGTCGGGCTCTAGTAATAATAATGTATACCAGATATCACTGATTGTCCATAAGAGTGATTAAAAGGCAGCTGGAAAGAATAGGATAGAACAGAGCAGAATAGAATATAATAGAATTAACATTTAAAAAGATGTAATCTTTGTGTTTCAGGCTGACATTTGAAGAATTTACATATTTTTAAGGTTATTTTATTTCTTTCAGTTGCTTTCTAATCACCGCTATTGAAAATGAGTTAATCTGATATATAATCTGGTATAAAATGATGTGTTATATGTAGTTGTAATAATATAATATAATATACTAGGGCTGCAGCTAATGATTGTCAATTAGTTCTTCAAGTAATCAGATGAAAAACTAAGCATAATGAGTTTTTGTAAATAACTGTTATATTTTATGCATTAAAAAACAATTATCTATTATTTAAAAAAAATAAAATTATATATATATATATATATATTCTACATCCTGCCCAATATTGTCCTCTAAACATATGCAATTTTGCAGGACTGTGAAAAGAAATATAGTGAATTTATATATGCAGGCTATGCTATGGATGATCAAATGCACTGTTGATTATTTCGATTATTATTATTGAATTTATTGATTAGTTGTTGTAGCCCGTAAAAGTTATTTCATAAGAGTGATTCAACATACTATATATTATATATCCATTAATGTTCCATCTTTTATATATTGATTTGATAATGAATAAATATACATGATATAACACTTTGTCACTAATAGTATCACGCTCCTGTACGTCAGGAGGTCTGTTATTGGTCAGTGGGCGTGTCATCAGAGGCTGAATTTGCATATGTGTTCCTCAGACGGTGAGCGGCTGCCGTGTCGCCATGGTGATGATGCAGTACAGCGTCATGGCCAACAACTACTGGCTGCTGGTGGAGGGTCTGTATCTGCACAGCCTGCTGGTCATCACCGTCTTCTCCGAGAGGAACTACTTCTACATTTACCTCTGCATCGGCTGGGGTGCGTCAGCCATCGGCACACAATCATTCATAATCACGTCCTTTCAGAAGAGTGTTTTTCTTATAACTGAAGTCTGAGCCGCTCAGAATTAGCACAAAGAGAGGCCATAAAACAACAGTCATTTTCACCTTCACCGCGAGTGGTTTGATGTGTTTCTGAGTTAGATTCAGAAGAGCAAACGCGACTGAATTTGGAGAAATTTTCCGTGCTTGTATATATATATATAAATAAAAATATATAAAATATTCTACATCCTGCCCAGTTTTGTCCTCCAAACAATGTACAATTCGAGGCCTATCAAAGCAAATATAGTGAATTTAACCCTAAAGCGCATCTGAAGCCCAGCAGTAAATCCTAATGTGCTGATGGATATGGAACAAGTTTGTGTGGGATCGGCACAGATATAGGAGGATAAAAATGTTAGACGGTCAGACTATTAGCTCTTTATGAGCTTTATGATCTCCCCGGATGCTCATGTTCTGACTGAAAGCAGGTGGAAAGACTCATAAAGCGGCCCATTGCTCTTAAATAATACACACACCTATGTGTGAACCAGCGTGATCTCGTTAGTATTCATGGGTATTTGTGTTTAAAGTGCAGTTGGATATAAACCCATATCCACTAAGGCAATGTATTGATAGGTTCTGGCCTGATTGTGGATCAGTGTAAGTGTAGACCTGACGAGCCTCAGGTGACTCTAGACACGCCCCCTCTCCCTCTGCACCAATCAGGTGCTCTCGCGATGATGATGAGTTGGCGTTTGAGTATAAAGTGTTGATGAAGGCGCTGCTGTTTCTCTCTCATCGCATCTGTATTTTCTCGCTCTTCTTTCCTCTCTAAGGTATGGCAGCGAATATCATTTCCGCTCTTTTATTTGCCTTTCCGTTTATTGTTTGAGTTTAATTTGATTCTTCAGTGGGTGTTGTGGTGACACAACATATTTCATAACCCACGGTTGAGTTCGTGTAAGTTTTAGTTTCCGTTTGGTTTTCTTCTGCTCAAGGCCATGTTTCTGCATTTATACCTGCAGATTTTAAAGACATATTCCAGGTGCAAATTAAGCTTCATTAAAATTGTACTTGTGGCAATTAAATTGATTACCAAAAAAAAAGTCCACTTTCCCCCTTTTCTTTAAAAAAAAGCAAAAATCTGGTTTGCAGTAAAGCACCTACTGTACAATAAGAAGTGAATGGGGAAGATCCATTAACCTACTCACTGTTATAATAATAACAATATAGCCACATGACATGAACATTATGCATGTTAACATTATTTTAGTCTGATATTTTGTTTTTTTGTGTAAAGTTAACTTTAACTTGCAATGACAATGCAATGTCATAAACCATAAAACATTTGTAAAAACACATTTAAACAACTTTACAGCTCAAATACACAAGCTTTAACAGAAGAATAATTACAAGTACGAGTAATAAATGGAAGCAAGTTCCAAAAATGGGCTTCATTAAAATATATTTATAAAGCACATTTAAAAACAACAAACGATTACTAAAGTGATGCACAATCAGCAAAAATGCAATAAATACAGAAAATACAAAGTTAAATAATAGCATAGACTAATAAAACAATACAACTTTGATTGCAAGTGCTTCTTTTTTTCAAGAAAAAGAGGGATGAGTAAAAAAAAGCTTTATAAAAGTTATGTACAAACATAAAAATGAAAAGAGTAAATATAAAAATTAATTTAAAATATTAATCAAAACCATAATAGTATCTCAATGATTATATTTTAATTAAATGTTAATTAGTTAACATTTTTAATTTTAATTAATATTTAACATGAATTAATATTTAACATTAACAATAAGTACAATTACATTTATTTTTTTTATTTTTTTCAAATGAATTTAATTTATTAATCAATTAATATACCCACAGTTTCAACAGTACAAGACATGAACAATTAGTGTGTTAGTCTGGTAAAATCACTTACTAGAAATGTTTCTGTGGAGTTCAATCCAATGTCAGCCTTGTTGCCATAATGCCATAAACCTTCATAGCTCAAACAATACAGTTTTAACAAATTCATAATTTCAAGTACTTTTATAAAAATAAAAAATAAACACTTCTGCTTTTACGTCATCCAAAGAATTGCCCCATTACATTTTTTAAAGTGCATTTAAAATAAAATAAAGCAACAAATGCTTTATTAAAGTGCTGGATAAAATTACAAGTAATACAAAACTGAACAGAACATAACAGACTAATAAAACAGTATTAGTGCTGCTTTTTCTATCTTATTTTTTAAAGAAAAAAGTAGTGATGAGACAAAATTATTTTCATTTATTTGTTTTGTTGTTGGTGTTGTTAATCAACAAAATGCCACGAATGCTGTTGATCGAATATTGAATATAAGTTCTGTCGTAAACAGAGATTTTCAAATGACTTCATTAATCCAGTTTAGATGTGTCTGACTTCTAAAAAAAAAAAAAAGCCATTTATAAAAGTCTTTGTTGAACTTAATAAATGAGTCGTGTTGTGGGATTATTGAATGGTACAAAGCTCAAATGCTTCCAGTCCTGCACGTCTACAGAGGATTCAGAGCCATTTGTATATGTTTAGACATTTATAAAGAACAAAAAATGCACAAATACCTCTGGAAACTAATGAGATCACCATTTGAACAGATGTTCACAGGTGTGTGTGAGAGTGATTTATTAGAAATAGTTATTAAGCCGCTGAGGAAAATCCTCTATTCAAATAACAATGAAGAAATCGTTGCCATGGTAACTCTTAATTAAAGACACATGCTTCTTTTACTTATAAGAGTAATCAGTGCTCAGTTTTGGAAAGCACACACACTCACTCACTCACTCACTCACTCACACACACACACACACACACATACTCACACTCACACTCACACTCACACTCACACACACACACTCACACACACACACACTCACACTCACTCACACACACACACACACACACCACACACACACACACACACACACACTATTTCTAAGGTTACTATTTCTCAGTAACCTTTCATCAAAATACAATAAAACTCGATCAGCCTCTGGAACGACTTAAATTCCTGATGGATAAAATAAAGTCCTGCACTTCAGATGTATGTTGTGTCTCATTAAATATGCCGTTTTACTGTGAAATATGTCACATACTGTAAATGTACATGAAAAAATGGGTTGCAAAATGCATTCCAGGTTGAATTTAAACAAAATTGAATTTCTTGTGACTGATGAATGATGGATTAGGTTTTTAACGGTTTGACATTTTTCATATTTATATGGATTATGATATTTTGTCATATGCAGATGCTGGGAAAGGAATATCAACATGGGCTACTGGTGGATCATCCGTTCTCCCATTCTGTTTGCGTATCTGGTAAGAGATTAACACAGACTTCACTATAAAGATATTTCTAACGATACATATATATCATCCACGCCAACGCACGATAACGTCTTTGGAGTCGATTCTGACTGTCAATGTTTTTATCGTTAATCAGCTGAGAAGAAAACGTTTTGAAAGTGATTACAACGATACCATCCCTCTGTGCAATTATCATTATAGTGGTGTGAATTTGCTGTTCTTTCAAAGCTAGAATGATTTTTAAAACTATATCTTTATCGTTATGTCGTCTTTGCTGTGAACGGGCCGTTACAGCTGATGTCATTCAGTCCGTTTGAAACTGAAAAAAACAAAACGCAGCCTTGCATGACAACGAAACCATTCGTCAAGAGTCTGCGCAGAAGATCCACTGTGTGTGTGTGTGTGTGTGTGTTGCATATGGAGTATTGAGATTCAAGCTGTCTCTAATATTCTGCATTTGCACGCTGATATTATCGGAGGACGTGTTCATTCAGCGAGAGCCTCGGGCGCAGGAACACATTATGACCTCCGCGTGACCTCCGGCGCACTCATCAACGCATAGTAATAATACAAAGTAATAAAGACAAACACAACAGAAATGTTGGTTCTACACAACATAACTGATTTATTTCACGAGTCCCATTTGTACTGCGCTTGTACCATGTTCTGATTTAAAAACTGCAGCAGAAACAGGCTTTGAACAGCTTTTTTTATGCGATATGTGAATCTACGGGATTTCTGTTCTCAGAAAAGTAGCCTATTTGGAAAACAATATTGATTTGCTTATGTATGACGCAGAATTAAATGAACCTTCAGTCATTATTTGTGTTGTTTTAGAATATTTGAGCCTTAATTAGAGGATAATACTCTTTACAGTTACTTTTATATTTTAATTTTTTACTTTATGCTCTCCCCTATTTACATATTTACATACATGCACATTTTAAAAAGTTGATAAAAAAATCTATATAACAAATAATCTGACAACGGTTCAAAACTGAAATTGCCAGATCTCGATCGCATTTTATTAATTAATGAATGTTTATGAATACATTTATTTGTTATTTATTAATTTGCAATTTAATGGCAAAGATGTTTATACATGAATTCAAATAATTGTAAAGTCTCTTGTGTTGTTTGTGTGGATCAATTCACTCATCATCTAAACTCAGTAAGAATCAAATATAAGATAAATTCATCAGTTATAACAGTGGTTTGTTTTGTGTTTGTCACACTAATTCTGCTCAGGCTTCAGAAGTTACACAGAACAGAATGAATGCATTATAAAGTCAAAATAGAGAGATCCCACTGATGTGTATGTGAGTTCATGCGTTACGCTTTGACATGTTATCATGTACGGTAGTGAAACTGAGGTATCGTGGTCTTTTGAATGACACGAATCACGTCAGTCTCAGTGATTTTAACCTCTCTCCCTTCCTCTCTTTCTTTTCTTCTGGAATAGATTAATTTCATCATATTCATTCGTATAATAAAGATTCTGATGTCCAAGCTGAAGGCGCATCAGATGAGATACACAGACTACAAGTTCAGGTAAAAGACCGCCGTATTTTTTATTGTTATTTTATCATGCAAGCAGAGCTCATGCTCTCATTAAATGTGTGTTTTTCTCTCTCGCTCTGCTCAGGCTGGCCAAGTCCACGCTCACGCTGATTCCTCTGCTGGGGATTCACGCCATCCTCTTCACCTTCGTCATCGATGAGTCCGTGCCGAAGGAGTCTCTTCTCAGGCTGATCCGCCTCTTCTACGACCTCCTGTTCAGCTCCTTCCAGGTCAGAGGGCAAAGGTCGCCGGCCCACCGTCACCATCAGACAGGGTCGTGTCTAGAGCATTTTAAATAGGGGGTCCAGTCCGTGGGGGGCGGGATCGCATATGGATTGCGTAACATTATGCGCTCTCAACATTGTCATTAAGATCACACTATAGAAACCGCCTAAAATTAGAAATTTACTAAAAACAAGCCTATGGCAAGACATTTGGTAGGGGGGGGCACCTGGGGTGGCCAGCCAAATTTCAGGGGGGACCGGTGCCACCCCTGGCCACCACGTAGACACGCCCCTGCCATCGGATCATTTCAATCAGAGTGTTTACAGAGATGGATGTTATCTGCTGTGAGATGAGAGCAGATGGTTGAGGTTCATGTGTGTTGTTGTCTGTAATTGTAGGGTCTGCTCGTGGCCATCCTGTACTGCTTCGTCAACAAAGAGGTGAGAGATATTCCTGTTTGTTTCTTTTTTTATATAATAAAAAAGCATCTCTTAAAATCACAGCTACACATGATCAAAGCAGGAGCTCTCAACCGGTTTTGCTTAATATGCTTAATTGTACATTGGACTAATTAAAACCAGTGTTAACCAGTAGTATCATTGAGATAGTATTATAGTTTTTATTAATATATAGAATTAATTTTTATTATCATTTTTATATTTTCCATTTGCATTTTTTGTTTTAGTAATTTTGTTGTTTTTTGTCATTTTAGTTTTTTTTTTAATTTTATTTCAGTTTTATTTCATATTTTATTCAGTTATATTTCAGTTATACTTGGAAACTGCCTTAGCAATTAGCTGAAAGAATGTTTCATTATTTATTTCATTAATTTCAGTTAACTGGTAACAATTATTTAAATGTTAACATTTAAGTAGCAAAAAAAAACAAAAAACTTGCAATAGGTAATAACATAATAGGCAGAATATGAAAGTTGACCATTTTAGAACATATATAAGCATTAAAAGTGATTTGCATGAACAACTCAAGGTTAAACACAGTGACAGATTAAATCTGCACCAAAATGCTGTTTAAATGAGAGCAGTATTTGACATCGACAGCAAAAGATTTCAGAGAAGTGATTTCACCTGCATTTTAAACATTGAGAAGCCTGTTTATTTTGCTATCCTAACTAAAAACCTATCGCATACTGTTAGAACATAGCTGTAAATAGCTTTTTGGGTCACGGCCAACTAGTTGGGAACCACTATTCACACCAAGTTTTCTGTTAATTTTAGTAGTGAATAAAAAGCATCCTTATGGAGCCCTTCATGTTAAGCATGAACAGTCACTCTTTTTTTTTCATAAGTATTGCATTTGATGCAATTTTTCACCATTTATTTTTTTTGTGTGTGTGTTTTTTTTCTTCAGTCATATCGCTCTTTTTTTTTTGTGAACAGTCCTCTGACTGAATAAACTGTGTTTCTCCGGCTCTCCAGGTCCAGAGCGAGATACTGAAGAAGTGGAAGAGGTGGAAACTAGGCAAGGACATTGAGGAAGAGTACCGTCACACCCACAGCCAGACGCCCCACGCCAAAAGCGGCAGCATGGCCCCAGCAATGACCCACGAATGCCCCGAATCCCCAGAACTGGCGGCCTCAGCGTCCCAGCGTCTAGTGACGGGCCTTCAGAATGGAGTGAGCCAGAACCGGAGCCGAGTGAGGCTGCAGTTGACCTCCGAGCCACAGGAGGGCGCCAGTAACTGCAGCTCTCTGACGGAAGACATTTGTCTGGAAGAGCGTCCCCTCAACAGTGAGTGCTCAGCGGTGGTGACAGAAACCAACCTTTAACACTAATGGATCAATGGAGATGATGTTTCATTCCAGATATGGTCTTCATGTTAGCAAACAGGCTTCTATCATGAGAAAGCATGGATATGTGGATTTAGTATTACGATATTATTGCAGACGATATATATCGCACACCCCTAATACACAGATGCATTCATTAATGTGTAATATGTTTTTTTTTCAAACTGATTATGAAAACTTAAATACAATGAGCTCTAAAAGATTTTCAGAATTTGTACAACTCTTTTGCTTTCGACCATCTACAAATGTTAAATATTCAAATAAAATGTTAAGGATTGCTTTATAGTTGTTTTATAGTTATTTTCAAAGCTTTCAATGTACTCTCATTATAAAAGAACGTCATTGTTTATTTAATTCTCTAAAGTATGTTTTTGTTAAAAACTATCCAAAATGAAAAATAATTTATGATCTCTGTACAGGAGAGATTTGGTGTTGTTTCCAAACAAAAGGAAATATATCGGTATCGGCTATCGGCCAAAATTAATTGAAAAATATCGGCAAAAATCTAATATTGTGCATCCTTAGTAATTATTGCTCATTAGTATGGTTGAATTGGATCATCGAAGGTCAGCAGCAAAGACATTGGTTAATAAAATGGGATTAAATACATTACAATACAATATAGGATATTTGTGTTATTTAACATATTTAATTATTACAGGGTTGTGTCATATTCTGAGTTTGCATTTCACTGTTTTTATTCATTTTGAGGAATATTGAATCTGTTTTTGTGTAAGTGAGATGAGTAAATGCATGTTGACATTTAGTCTTGAACTACAGTAATAATCATGTTCACACAGCGCTCTCAACGCCTCTGCACTCACTCCTGATTTCTCTCAACATGAGGACAGGAGAGCTGTCAGTCAACACATGAGAAACTAGACTAACTGGCATTACTTATATGAAACTTAGAATTTTTTTTTTTAGATTATTTTTGTAAATGAAAAAGTAATGCATTACGTTACTAGTTACTAGTAATCAGATTACGTAACTCGCGTTACTTGTAATGCTTCACCCCTTAATGCTGGTCATTACAATAGGGATCCACATGATCTGATGCGCAGATTTAGCTTATTTTCAAGTAGGTCACATAAATTTGGCAACAGAAAGCTGCTTAATTTTAAAGTTTATTGTATGTGAGCTGTGCTTCATACATCGTTACACTATTGACAGTATGAACATTTTTGGGCTGGAAAATTTTGTTGAAATTGAAAAAAACAAAAAAAAAAGTAAATATTCTTTTGACTGAACAATCACCTGGAAACCACCCAGAATAACTATTTGTGGCAGAAATTACCAGTTATATTTACATTTATGCACTTAGCTTTTATCCAAAGCGACTTAAAATAAAGAAGCATAAGCTATTTGTTACAGAGCCAACAATGTTCACAGAATTCAATGGCAGGTTTATTAGAAACCTAGATTGGCAAACAAGCCGGAGTAGAGGAGAAATGCAGAAAAGAGAAAATGTGTGTCTTCAGTTGCTTCTTGAATGTTGTGATGGTCTCAGCGGTTCGGTTTGAGGTGGGCAGCTCGTTCCACCAGAGAGGAGCAGAGAGGGTGAAGGGTCTGGAAAGTGTCTTCATGCCTCGCTGTGAAGGAACGACAAAGCACTGCTACACTTGGTTATTTACCCACTCAGGAGTTAAAACCCGCTTTCGCTGAGTTGCCCTTTAAGAATGCTCACCAAAACATCTCACACTGGCAGAAAAGCTGTGAGGTGTCCATAATTCAGTTCTGTTTCTACTGAACACTAACAAACTAAGAAAAGGAAACTCATCGCTTGCTCAGCATCAAAACACCTGAGATTGATGTTTCATGTGGGGTGTTCGGTTGTTTCTTGACCAGATGCTTTAATAAACGGTGTCAAATTCAAGCAGATCCTCAGTAGAAGCTTTTTTTTTTTTTTTGGAAGCGTACAGTGTGAAGTGACAGTGTTTACTCGCTATATGTCCATCCACACACTTCACCAGAGTGCCATTCTTACAGACTACCCACAATTCATCAGGACGAGAATCAACAGCTCAACTGAGAGCTCAGGAATGCTCTTTATGGTTCCCATGTGAGGCTTCTGGGATTGTGGAGGATCTCTAACAGCGTTCAAGACCATTACTTAAACATGACATGCTTAATCATTCTGTATTTGGGTGAAAATGGTGTATTTCAATGCAAGACTGAAACAGTCTCCCGGTTCATGATGCATTATTTACTGAAGCAAACCACGAGGTGCGAGAGGTTATGAATATAAATATTTATGAACATAATATTTGAATATATATTGTTAAACCGTGTTGTTGAGCACAGCATGCAGTGTATTCTCAACCTTAAGTCAATTATTTGCTTTTAGAAGAAATACTACCTAATAAAAAATAAATGCAAAACCACATTTTAGTGTCAAGAGGCATCTTTCAGCATGAAGATGTCGTCCTTAATATAACAGAATGTTGCTATGCACCAAAAATAAGCAGAAATGCACACTAATTTGATGAGCAGGTGTTTTGTGTCATAGCTGTTTATATATAGATTTATATAATGGCTGGATCGCTGTACTGACCAATCAGAAGCCAAAACCTTTTCTTTTTTTTCAGTTTTATAAAATTGGTTACAATGCTGCTAATTTGAATTTTCTTTGCTTATATGGTTGACACTGACAAAATTAGGTTGATTTAGTGAAAACCTGACTGCTAAACCTCAAATCTATCTACCATCAAGCTTCAGTAACATTAATAATGCATCATAAACACAGAGCTTCGTATGGACTCCTGGACGTCATGTGATTGTGATCTGCGTCATTTGAATGTTTTTTGTGCTTTGTGGAAAGAATTTGTATGGAAGAGTTGAACTATGGTACATGTGTAAATCACTTTTGTTATTGTCTGCGAGAACAAGAAGTAAAGAGGGAGCAAAAAAGATGTTGAAACCGAAAGGAAGATTTTAAAAATAAAACTCCCCGAGTCTGGTTGTTTAGTCTGTTGTGGATGGCTTTGATTTATTGTAGCATGATGACTGTTTCATATGGAGATCTCGGGGAGCTCGCTGAAGCCGCTGTGGACCACTGGCTCCATAAATCACTCACAACACACACACACACACACTAACATGGCCATTACCACTGCAAACATCCAAATATCATCCATCATGCATTGATTAGCCGAGCACACACCCATATACACTTATACAAAGCAGCTTGATCAGAAGTAAAGGATCAATCAGGTGACTGTGCAGAAATCTGTTTGTAAATCTTATTTACTTTATTATATAATAATATCATTAATTCTGCATAAGGTCAACATGTCACAAAATAAGTAATTTGAGATAAAACAGGGATTCCTGAACTTTTTATAAGCCGAAACCCAACAACATAAAATGTTTGCTCAAAGTCATGTTTTTAGTGTTTCAATTTAATGATTATTTGCAAATTATTTAAATTTGACATTTTTTAATTATTAGCTTTTCATCAACTCACAAACCTCTCAACCCCTTAAATGCTGAGTATTTTTAAGTAAAAGTCTATTTTTCAACATCAATGTTTTACCTGTTTACTGAGATGCCATTAAAACACTAAGAGAGAATATATATATATATATATATATATATATACACACACTGTATACTTTCATACATGCTCACACTTTTTTATGTAATCAATTCCTGCCCAAGTGAGGGATGTATTATTCCCCCTTCATTAATTCTGTTCACAGGTCATTTGCTGGAAGCACATTCTCTCTCTTCCTTTATGATGCAGTAATTTCCGTTAATAAGACAGCCATTTTTAGTATTCATGTTTCAGCGTACTGCTTGAGCATATGGTGTGATCAAATCACTCTCCCACCACAGAGCCCGACCTCACATCCTGACAAACGTTTCACAAGCCCATCATCGTCTTTTCCACAGCATTTCTTTTACGGCCCTAGATCATTTGACAGTGAATGACTCTGGGATTGTAATTGTGTGTCATTTACAAAGGATTCTGATATATTCCCTCGTGCAGTCAGACTGTGGCTGCAGACACGGCTCAGATCTTTCACTTCATTTACCGCGGTGCTTGACATCAGCACACCTGATTTTAAATGGTCTTGTTACAATGGAAGCTGCAACACTGTGCCGTTTAACAGGGCATTACTGTACAGTCAAGCAAACAGGTTCAAAACATTTAAAAATGTTCTTAACATGAAATTTCAAATACAACCTTCAGACTTGGCAACACCTCTCTTTCACTGTCATATACAGTAGTTAATGAATTTTATATTGGTCTACAATGATTTCTCTTGGGGATCTCCCAGCTAACGGTGAATGTTCTAACTACTTTTAGTAATGTTTTTTTTTTTATTATTTATAAATGTTAGACAAAACATTCTTAAAGTAATGTTTATGGAAAGTTCTTACATATTTGATAAATGTTGTCATAACGTTGAGGAAACATTCTTAGAACAACATTCTCTGACTGTCCTTATGTTATTTGTGCTAGAATGTTCTAAGCAGCAGCGTAAATTTCGTCTAACAGTTGGGGGGGGACAATAAGCATACAATTTCTCAATTCCTTTCATTTCTTGAAGGGGACACAAATAATCCAGCTAAAATTGTACTTGTAAGGATATGTATACACAGAGGAAAGCCTTACTACTATTAGTGCAGCAGGGAGACCGTGCCGATATAGACAACTTCAAGCTGTTGTGGTCACGCCGTGACAGTGCTCGTGTCTGTTGTAGACATTACTATCCGTCACAGTGTTGCCAAGTCCGTGGTTTTACCATGGAATTGGGCTACTTTATCACTGTTGCCGCTGGTTGAAGCGACCCCAATGATGTGTATTTTAGCCCCCGGAACGTGATTTTTACTTGGGGACCACCTCGAAATGCGGATAGTTTGGGCTAGTTTTGAGTAGCAATTGGGCAGGTTTTGTTGTGAAAACCTGGCAACCCTTTCCGTCAAGCAGGTAACGTTATTATTGTTAAAATAGCGGACTCATCGAAAAATACATTGGCATCATCTGTATTAAAGAGAAAATAATCACTTCATCCGATGTTTAAGTGAATAAAATAGCCT